AAAACTCACCTAGTGATGACCTTAGAGAAAAATGTAAAGGTTTATGACATCCACAGAGGGAGCAGTTTCACTGTACTGGAAGGACAGGAGCAGCCAAGAAGTCCCCAGGGTCCCATCACAGCCCAGATGTGGCCCGGTGTGTGTACAGACCCCGAGGGCAGGAAGCAAAGGCTGGGCTGGGAATGAGCGCTGCAGTGACCATCTCAGCGGACACAGCCCTCTGCATTTAGATCCCAGGGTGCAGTGACCCTCCCTTACACCGACAAGGAGCTTTTCAAGTCTATATTTAGAAGTCAGAGCTTTCTCGGTCTCTTGACTTTTTATCTGTAGATTATTATATATGACAATTGGGTGCGCGAAACCTCTTAGCTAAATGGAGAAAAAAAATGAGCATAATTTCCTGGGTCAGAGGAGGGGAATGTAACATATTTAATGCCTTTCATGTGGAAGAGGAAAATATTAATGTGTTAAATCAGGGCTGGAGGCCTGTGAAGGGATCTTAGAAAGTTGCTGTAGCAAAGCGCTGGCAAGAACCTGGCATCTGGCTTTGCCATGCCCAGGCTCTGGGTGTCAGCAGGCAGCATCGGAGCTGGGAGGGCTCCTCACCTTCCCTCTGGCCCTATCCAGGTCATGGCAGGAGCTTTACAACTGCGTTTCTCCCAAGGCACCAAAGTGGCTCAAAAGGAAAGAGCGTGCTGTTTTCTTTATATGTACAGATACTTGACAAATTCTTGGAAGTTTAATGAGAATAAGTGTTTGACTTACCAATAAAAGGAAAGACAAGGCATGAGTTCAGTTCTCTGTGTGGAGAAGCTGGAGCTAGTCTTGACCACCTTTGAGGAAATGTGGGATTTTCCAAGTGGCAGACCACGTCCTCTGATCCCCAGTGCCAGAGAGGTGGACGGGTTGTCCACACTTCTTCCCTGGGCATCGTGGAATTTCCGAAGACACTGACCAAGAACTCCAGCAAATAAAACAAACAGGGAGAGAAGTTTGGCCTAGGCAAAAGAATACAAGTGAGACTCACCAACCTGAAGAATTTACCCCACTATTGGTTAAAAATGTATTAGCCATGCCCCTGTGGTCACCTTCTTGCTCATCCTATGTACTAACTTACTTCACCCTCAGTTACCTTACAAGGCAAATACTATTAAAATGACAATTTTCTGTTTTTTAAAAATGCAGTCTGGACAGATGGAGTGGACTGTGCAAGGACATGCAGGCATGGGATCATTTGAGCTTTCACTGGCTTGAGCTCAGAGGCTGTGGCGAAGCTGCTGCACCTCCCCGTGTCCTGAGGCTTCTGATACAAAGACCACAGGTCAGGCCGCAGCTGAGCTCCGCAGTCCTCCATGGTCCCTGACAGACTGCGCAGGCCAGCTAAGCAGAGAGCACAGCCCAGGGGAAGAAGGCCAGCCTCTTTACACAATGGGTAATAGCACCCCAAAGATCCCACATTTCCACCAGTTGTCGTTAATTATTATGAAAACAACTCTCACACCACATTCTGATAATCATAGTTTATGCCATTAAAACTGTAATTATGCCAGTCATGGGCTATAGAGAGCTGTGGAAGGGAAAAGAGAAGAGAAATTCATGTGGGCAGAGGGAAATGCATTCTTGTGAGTTTGTCTTCTCTAGGATCCAGCAGAGGTCATCTGATATGCTGGCCACTGTAATCGCCCTGAGAGTCTCACGCAATCCCTGCACTGTAGGAAATCAATAAGAAATTAGAGCTCTCCAAACAAATTTCCAGGAAATCTGATGTGGGAGTTTGGGAGTTGTATCGTTTGTTCTTTTTTCCATTTTTATATTCAGTTTAGAAAAGAACACATTTTATCTGATCTACTCCCTCTTAGCTTGAAATACCTTAAATGGTAGGACTCACTGTTGTCTGTACGCCTAAAGTGCATGATGATTAACACAAATTATTGAGATTCTTGCAGTCTAGAGGGTGATTATTTCTGCTAGAATAGATTGTAAATGAATTTTATGCAACTGTAATTTAGGAAGTACACAGATTCACACTTTTGAATAAAATTACCTCCCCAAAAATAGTGATTTTGGGAAGCAAGCTGATAGATACAACAGTAACGGAACCAATTCACAATTTTAAAAGTTAAACAAATGAAAAGTTGAGATTACTTTCCAAGCAAAGTCTCTCTATGGAGCAGCCTAGCAAGGGCTGTCTTTGCCTCTTCATAGAGACATGGTTATAGCTGTGGCCGCATGACTGATGGGTTAGCCCCAAGTAAGAGGAGGCAGTGTACAACCTGAAAGGAACATTCTCAAATGTCAGGCCATCTCTCAAAGGCACCTGATTTTCAAAGGAATCTTTTGTGCTACGAAACTGTATTTTTCTCCTTTATTATGCTCCAACAATGTCATAACCAAGAGGTGTAGACTCAGGCAGGTCTCGCCCTGTGTAACTTTAGGGCAGCATGAGGGAAGTGGGTCCACGTGTTAACAGCCAGCCGGGTACTCAACATCTGCTTTTAAGCTCTGTGTTAGCAATGAAAATAATTCCAAGTTTCCACTTGTTTAATGAGAAAAACTCATTCAACAATGTGCCACAAAACCTCTTTAGACCTAAGACCTCTCAATCCTGGAGGATAGATCTTTAAAAAAGAGAGAAACCTGTGCACACTCTTACCTGGTCAGGTGGGCTCACAGACCCATCATGCACAGGGCAGACTGTGGCTTCAGCTTTGTCATTATCTCTCACATAGCCCAAAAAGTGGCATTTCTAAGCAATGGCCAAGAAAATGATGGAACTATTCATTTTCCATAAAACCACCTTACAGCAACAGCACAGATGATGAGGAGAACTGGAGAGTCCCAAGATTGAATCACATCTGTACAATTAAATGGTGTAACTTCTGTAGATCAGCTACTTCACTTCCTTGAGCCTCAACTTTCCCACCTGTAAAATGATAACCATACTCTCCCCACACACAGGTCCTCAGTAGAGCCCAGATCCTTGGTAGGACCCATAGAACCTGGTAGGGCTATGCTTATGGCAATGGTGCTACTACTACCTACAAGAGCTCTCAAGTATTTCATAGGAAATGTAAGATCTTAGCATCCCAAAAGCATGCTCCCCAGAAAAGGGCAATATAGGGACTCCGGAGGCCATTTGGCAATCCACAGCTGATATATACCCAAAAAAGAGCTCCATCAAAAAACAGTGGTCCAAGATAACCTGTCAGAAGAATTAAATTATATTTAAATTCATCCATCACTTAGTTAGCAAATAATGACTTTGCTCAATTTGCATCAGAACAGTTTTTACAAAAGAAATAAAACATTTCAGATGCAAAGTCAACCTCTGGCCCTCATATTATCCTCTTCCCTTCCTCCCCAGAAACGGTTGGGAGGAAGGTTGCTACACATGCTTCTGCAGCTGCACCTTATAGGTATGGCTACATGAGTAATACATAATGTTCATGTCCTTATTGTTTATATTAATGCTGTCCCATATGAATTACTCTGCAAGTTGGTTTTGTCATCTAACATTGTTTTTCTGAGATTTCTGTTGAAGTATACAGATACAGTCCATCTGATACATTGTCATATATTATTCTGTAGTGTGATTATACCAAAATTTACTTACCATTCCTCTAACTGCAGGAAACTACGAATTTTCTGAAATTTCAATTTCACAAAACTTGCTGCAGTGCACATCTTTGTTAGTCTCTGTGTCTGTGTACGAAGGTTTCTGCAGGCCACAGCCACAGCGGCAGAATCACTGAGTAGGCTGTGCTTCCTGACTCACTGAATGCTGCCAAAATATTTTCCAAAGGAGCTGTACTTGTATTCCTTCCTACGAATCTATAGGAGCACATCCTTCAAGAAAAACAGCAGTTTAGTCTCTTTTTTATGTTTGCCTGTGTGGATAAGGTGCAAAAATCTCAGGGGCAAAAACAAGACAGTAGGTGAGTGTCTGCTGTCCAGACAGAGCCACAGCCCTGCGCAGCCTGCAGTGGGCTGATGGCTCCTTTGGACCCACGGTCCCTGCGCTGCACGTCTACAGCTGGGCCTTTATGTGCAATGCCAATGCACCCTCTAAAGAACGAAAGGCGTGGCCTATGTGCTGACTACTCGGAACCTCTGGGTGATTCAGAGAACCACATTTCAAAAGATGCAGAAAAACCACATCCCAACATCCATGGTCTTTGCTGGATCCTAGTGGGTTTTTCATCCAAGATGGGGCTGGGAATTTTCTGCAGAGGGTTTTGTAGTAACTCAGACTCAAGGCTCAGCTCTCAGCTCTGTCATCCTAACTTGTAACCAGGTACACCTGAGGAGCATTCATGCATGCAGAGGAAGACTGCTCCCCTTCCCTTTGGTTCGTTCCTAGCCTAGCAGTCCCTCCCTAGTGGTCTCAGGAGATACAGCCCTTTTCACCTCTGGATGTGAAGTATGAGGTTAGAATTTGAGAACCTCTGAGGCTATGTATGAAAGAGCATGGCTTCCAAGGAGGACCCCACTCCTCAGATCTCAAGGTATCTTGGGGCCTGGAGGCCCTGGCTGCAGACGGGAAAGGAGGGCGCCCATCACAGGAAAGGCCTTTCTGAACTTTGAGCTTTCCCAAAATCCATACACAGGAATGTCTCTCTGTCTGTTTGTTACTGGGATGGCACTGGCAGAAAGGAGTGAGAGTAACTCATGGTGATGATACGACAGCTCACATTCTGAGCAACAGATAAAGAGGCCAGGACACACTCCTTGCTGCCATCTTCCTCTGCCTCTCCTCATGCCCAGCTGTCTAAGATCTAAAATCTGCCTGAGGACACAGGTCCTTCCTGCCATGGTTCCTCGGGTACTCTTCCCTTGGATCTGGCTCAGGCCATTGGAGCACTTTTCATAGGCCTCACACGTAGCAAGGGCTTCATGTGTACCTACGTGGTGTTTTGCAATATGGTCATTGATACTAATATCCGCCATTAGTGGTGACCTGTTAATACCCTGGATGACAACAAATCTGTTCTCCCCTCCAGGTACCAGCAGCACAGAAGTGAAGGAGAACCGCAATGTGAGCAACTTGGGAAGTAGGCCCCTGCCCCCAGGGGACCGGGCCCGAGGCAACACTCCCAGCATTAAAAGAAAAAGGCCCCTGGAAGAAGGGAATGGGGGCCACTTCTGCAAACTCCAGCTTATCTGGAAGAAGCTGTCCTGGTCAATGACCCCCAAGAATGCACTCGTCCAGCTGCATGAGCTGAAGCCGGGTCTACAGTACCGGATGGTGTCGCAGACGGGCCCGGTACATGCCCCGGTCTTCGCAGTGGCAGTGGAAGTGAACGGACTCACGTTTGAGGGTACAGGGCCCACCAAGAAGAAAGCCAAGATGCGTGCGGCTGAGCTGGCGTTGAAGTCCTTTGTGCAGTTCCCCAATGCCTGCCAGGCCCACCTGGCCATGGGCAGTGGCCCCAGCCTGTGTACGGACTTCACTTCAGACCAAGCCGACTTCCCAGACACGCTGTTCAAGGAGTTTGAGCCGTCTACACCCAGTGAGGGCTTTCCGGCCTGCCGGCCCGTGGACCCTGAGCTGCTGTCTAGCGCCTACCGGAGAGGAAGGCTGCTCTACCACACCCTGGACCTCATGGGCCCAGACCGGCCAGACAGGCCCTGGCCTGCTCCCACAACCCCGGGAGAGAGGAACCCCGTGGTCGTGTTGAATGAGCTACGGGCAGGCCTGCGGTATGTGTGCCTCTCGGAAACGGCCGAGAACCCTCGCACCAAGAGCTTTGTCATGGCCGTGTGCGTGGACGGGAGGACGTTCGAAGGCTCCGGACGCAGCAAGAAGTTGGCCAAGGGCCAGGCAGCACAGGCCGCCCTTCAGGCCCTCTTCAACATCAGGCTGCCTGGCCACACCCCCAGCAGAAGTAAGAGTAACCTCCTGCCACAGGTGAGAATTCCTAGGTAGCTTCCGGTCAGGTACAGGCTGCTGGGATGGAGATGAGCTGGCTGCTCTCTCAGCCACAGGGAATGGACAGTGGCTGTGAGCAGAGTGCAGCCCCCAGCACTGGCTGTCCTGAAAGGCCCCTTCTTCTAATTTTAGAGCAATTTCCAAGCTTTGGGAAGAGAGAAAATCATGTGAATGTAAAAGAAAGGAAAGGGGACGTCAGCACTCTACCTTAGCAAAGGGAGTAAGGGAATTCGTAAAACCAGGGTGAGTTTTACAGTGACAGCACCACTGCCAGGGCGGCCACTAACCAGAGAGCGAGTGGCCACCAGATAGATGCGGGACACCTCAGCCTCCACGGAGCAGCTTGCCCTGCAGGAAGGGCAGGTTTCACTTACAGGCCCTGCAGGAACAGCAGGCAGAAGAGTGGCAGGAAAAACGTGTGTTAGGTGGTGGCTTGGGTTGAGTTTCTAGCCAAGGAGCGTAGGGAAAACCAAGCAGATAGAGACTGTCCCACTGGAAGTCAAGGCCTCTGGGGCCCAAGATGAGGCCAGGTAGAGGTGCCCGGGGTAGCACTCCACAGGGCCTGAGGATCAGAGGGGGCAATGCGTGCTGGAAGGCAAAGGAGACTAGAATGAGAACTGGGAGCCAGAGTCTCCCTTTGCTGAACAAATGGGATCACCTGTCAGGCCTCTGCAGGCAGTTGTGGGTCTGCTTCTCCACATAAGTTTACGTTCACTCATTTAAGAAGTATTTTTAGTACTGCCTGTGTGGTAGGAACTAAACTATTCTCACACCATTTTAAAACAGCCTTATACTGACAAGTCTTATAATTGCTTATTTATGCAAATTGTCTTTATCTTATCATTTTGAGAATTATTTGTGAGCATCACTAATGTAGTAGATACAGAAAATTATCTTTATTCATTCTGGGCATCAATCAAGGCAAGAAACACTTTACACAGTTAAAAAGCACTTAGCCGAGTGCGGGATTCATTCTAAGTACTTAATAATTGTAAGCTCTTGCTTTGATCGCTACCATCATTACATCACTGCGCCTAGAATAGAATCCATTATTTTGTCTTAGGAGATCATAAACCTGTTAAAGAATGCAAGGTACCCCCAACCTCAGATGTGTTCAGGGATACAGTGTGAGGGCATGAAGTGCAGAAGGAGCCCTTCACCTTGAATCATGACTGTATAGTGGCTACATTAATTCAATCGATATTTATGTGACCGTAAGCAGGCAGTCGATGGGACAAGCAATGGAAAAGCAGATGTTCTGCTTCTCGCAGAGCTTGAACAAGTACATGGAGAGAATATAAATGGAAAAGGATGTGTGGTGGAGGGATGCCTGCTTCTCTGCAAGCTCTACTTTTCATCCATTCACTGAATTCCATCATTTATTGACCATCCAGTGATTACTCAATGGGCTGGTGGGAGGAGTTTAGGCCGTACTCTCCCTTGGTCTTGCCTTTTGATTCAGCCCAGATACATACACCATCCAAGTGAAGGCAGCGTGCTCAGAGGGCAAGGACAACTTCTTCATACCTCTCGGTGCACTGTCGGGTTAGAAATTCTGTGGTCTTGCTTTCTCTTTCCTGTGTCTCCGTCCTTTTATATTTTTCTCTCTTCCTTTCTCTTGTGTTTCTCCACTACTGGAGTCTAAATTTGCCAAAACAGCCACGGAAACACTTCGCCCCTGACACCTGGAGGAGTCCTGGGCAGAGGGACGAGCTCCTCCTAATGCTTCCCATGACCTTTGGCATGACCTTGGTCAGCTGGAACCTCCTGCCACATCTCTGAGAAGCCTTCCACAATGCTTTGTGGGTGTCTCCCCTTTGCTGTTTTACTCTTATCCAGCTGACATCACTTTCCAGAGAGCCTGGCACCCTCCCAAGGCCTTAGTCAGGTCTGGGTTTTTTTGTTTAGTGGGAAATGTCCTTTCTCTCCACCAGCACCTCTCTCTCCTGTGTCCCGTTGTGTGAAATTGAAGGATGTCAGTGAATTCTGGGGGCAATGCCTCCTTCTTTCATGTTGTCAACCCTGAACTCTCACGATGGAAAAACCAGGCAGTGCTAGTGCTTTGTAATAGTCATTTGACCCCAGAATACAGCACATCAGTTAAAACCCCGGCTGCTAAATTATTTTTCTCTGACAGTCCGCTAACCACTCCGACTGGATGATGAAGGGCGCAGAGCTGTGCGGAGGTTTCGGGCCATTCATCACACCACGGCCCGGCACCATGCCATGGGGCTCATTATCCTCTCTCCTCAGACTCCTCAAGGTGTGCACCCCACAGCGAGGTGGGGGCCAAGCATGACAGTGGGTCTCAGGACCAGGAACCACAGGCAGTTTTGTGAAATTAAAGTTGGGTCTTGCTTGGGCTCTGGATTGAGGGGATAAAATCAAAAGAAAATGTTCCAGGAATGGTTATAAAAGCTGCTTTGCCTTCCGGATCTGCCTAAACCCTGTCCCCTGAGGAATTCTGCCTCTTTATGACAAGCTGCTCATCTATACATCCCGAAGCCTCCATCTATAGGTTGTAGAAATCTCATTCATGCATTATGGACACCTGTCTATATGTCATGAAATTCCAGTTTTTAGACCATGGACCTCCACACCTAAACATTATGGAATCTCCATCTATACATCATGAAAGCCCATGTATATATCATAGAACCCCGATCTATACATCATGACCCTTGTCTAGCTGCTGTCCTAGCACCGGCAAACCAAAGATCTTCCCAAAACTGTTGCCCACAGTCTCAGAAAAGGGCAGACTGCAGCTTCACTGAGCAGTGACAACTCTACCGGAATCTCTTGGAAATGTTATAGCAGCACCTCCTGTCAGAAAGACATAATTTATGGAATCTGGGTACCAACACCAATTTTTAACATTTTCTGACAAAATTTCCAGAATCTGCCCTGCATGGATAGTCTTAGATTTGGAGGATGACAACATGAGTGTCTGTTTCTGAGATCCACATGTGCATTTTATAGAAGCCAGCTAGATTTGAGTCTGTTTAAGGTTTTAGTCAATGGCTGGATCTCACAAGCAAACATTCAAAGACATCCCAGTGGACGATTTCTCCTTTAAGTGATAGTCTGTGAGAAAACTGTGTCACGTGTGATGTTTAGAAATAAATAGGAAAGCATATTTAAGATGCTGCTGTTGGACATAATGGAGGAAACTTGGGTTCTCAGAGGGGACTGGGAATCTAGATTTCCATTAAGTACCTCCACCTGATTCCTGGTCAGAGAACTGCGAAATCAGAGACCTGGACATCTGGAACTTGTCATTGGCTGCTCTCATACTCAGATTGGGTGGCAGGGCTACAGAATAGGGTAAGTCTCTCTCTGTGTCAAAGACAATTATAAGGAAGCAGAACTTCACAAACTTGCCTCCAAGAGCTGCAATGTGTCTGCATGCTTGACCACAGTTACTTTTACCAGAATTCCAAGTATCAACTTTCCTGAAAACGCCTAACATAGTTTTGCAGTAGCGACACAGAACAGATTGCAGTTTGGACTCTGAAAAAGTATGATAATCTCAATAAAGATCTAAATCACACATGTGATTTCACCAGGATCTCATATTTACCATTTCTTGTACTCCAGGGTGGATCTCAGAACCTGGCTTGGCTTACACCTTCAGTTTCTTGTGAGCTGACTCTTAGCTACAGTGAAAAAATCCCATGTTTATTAAGTTCTTTAAAGCATGAAACAGACTTGAAAATGAAGGATTTGTTATTCTGACAAAGGACATGCAGGCTTGGTACTCTATAAATACCTATTGGTAATGGCAATGCCCACTACAAGATATCTGAGAGGTTCAGTCCAAATTCTTCATGCTTCTTTTATCTGCAGTTAATACAAGGCTCCTGTGGGCTAACCAAATACTTGGAAGTAGGAACAAAACCGTGTGAGAACGTACTCATTACCTGAAAGCGTCGTCATGAAAAATGTTAAAATCGCAAAGTCCACTTTTCTCTTTGTCTTCACCTTCTAACCTTAGTGTGAAGAGTTGAATTCATTAAAAATATAAATCCAACCATGAAAGATATTTTTTAGCATTTTCTTTTCATGAAAATGGTTGGAAAAGAGAATAAAGAAGATATAATGTTATTTTTAAAAAGTGAAATTATCTGTGCTCTTAATAACTCTGAAAAAGGCACTGTTGGCTTGCTGTAGATTTTTCATTCACTCTCAGTTATTCTCTTTATTTTAAATTTTTAAAAATTTCATGTCAGGAGCATTGGTGCACAATGCCTACAAAGATTTAAAGCAAATAAAATTCACTATTCCTTCCTTCAGAGTAAGAAAGGAGATACCTTAAAAACTATTCACAAAGGTTGGTTCCTTTGACCAAGCCCTTCAGAATGTCTTTTAGGGAAAATTAGGCCTGGGGCTTCAGTCCTAGCCATTTTTCACTATCCCAGCATGCTTACCTAGCACCATCCTCTATCTCCTGCTCTTTCCAGTTATTACCACTTGGAGGGATTAGAAACCATGGGAATATATAAAGTAATTGAAATGAACATTTTTTGAGCTTTGGCATTTTATAGTGCATTTGGACCTGAGCTCCTGTACATGATCCCATTTCATGAAATTTGTCCCTAGAATTAGCTGCAGACCAGAGGGACCAAGTCTGTGACTGCATTATCAACAGCTACACTACAGGACGTGGATAAGCTATTTGCACAGTGTCTTAGTCTCTCTCCCAAACACCCGAGTGACCCCCAGCTGCCTTGGACCACTTTACAGAGTTTTTCTAATCTCATACTTGTGATAATTCATCTCATTTGAAAGAGGCAGTGTCCTTCTTGTGATAAAACAGAACTGTTCATTAATATTGCCTTAACAAATTAGCAACGGAGAGGTCCTCAAAATTAAAAATGAATAGGTGTGGAAATCACATTTAGCCAGCTTTGAAATAGCTTACTACCATCTGCATTGGTTTACCTGAAAATATCCCAGAAGCAACAGCAGATCCACTCTCT